GGTTCAGGAAGCTGATGCCTCTTCCTTTGCACAGGCTGCCTGGGTTCTTGCAAGGCTGGTTTTCATGCAGGCTCCTATAGGTTTCCCCAAGTGGTGTGTCTGACGCAGTGAAACCGCGCTGCATCTCCGGGCTGCAAGCTGCTCAGCTGCAGATGCACATGGCTGCTGGAGGTGTCTCTGGTGATGCCGAGGTGGCTCTGGAGAGCGCCATTATACCTGGCGCCTCCCCAGCTGTACATGTAGCTGACCCACTCCTGTCCCTTCCCTGTGGTCTCAGTCTGGCCAGCCCGCCCCACTCTGTACTCAGTGAGTGAGGACCCAGGTCAGGCTGAGGGTTTCTTTGGGCTTCCAGATTCCCCCACCTGACTCTCCCAGGCTGAGCTGGACACACAGTGGTCCTGCTTCTGAGATGGCTCCCCAGAGGGACAGAAAGCTGCACATGAGCTGCGTCAGTGCTGGGGACCTGCCTGCACCTTCTCCATAGAGGTGGAGCTCATTTGCACAGGCTGGGAGGTGGAAGAGTACAGCAGGAGCATTATGGGAGCTGTGTGACAGGATCCCTCTGTTACAAGTCCTGGCAAACTGGTTACAGATCAGATATTATACATAGTCTTCCCCTGCCACTTTCATTCTCTGGGCAGCAATGGCTGATGTGGCGAAAGCTTGTTCAGCTCAAACTTCTTCCTCCAACTGCATCCTGAACTGGGTGCACTGCCCTCTGCCCAGGCTGCTGTTGCTACTGGAGCTAATGCATTCCTGTGGCATGTGCTGAAAAGGGCCTGCTTGGGATTTCCTGGGGCTTGGAGCCATGTCTGCAGAGCCGAGCCAGGGCTCCTGGAGTTGAGGAGAGCCTTGAGGGTGGGTTTGTTCTCCCATTCCCTGCATCCCCTCCGGCCTCTGTGCAGGGCTGTGCTGGGTGTGGGGCAGCTTCCCCCTCCTGGCACCTTAGAAGGGAGGATCTGAGCTGGAATTTTGTATTGCCATGGATAGGGTTTGAGTCACTGTGTCTCTGGCACAGTAATACAGGGCTGTGTCCTCGGGTTTGAGGCTGTCCATCTGCAGGTACAGCATGTTCTGGGAGTTGTCTCTGGAGATGGTGAATCGCCCCTTAACAGCTGGGGAGTACCACTGGCTGGATCCACCATAGTTAATTGTAGCGACCCAGTCCAGCCCCTTCCCAGGAGCCTGGCGGACCCAGTGCATGCCGTAGCTACTGAAGGTGAACCCAGAGGCTTTGCAGGAGAGGCGCAGAGAGTCTCCAGGCTTCCTCACATCCCCTCCAGACTCTACCAGCTGCACCTGGGACCAGGCACCTGGGAAAGAGACATGTCAATGCTGATGAGACACCTGTAAAGGTTGCTCAGTTCAGGGTACCGCATGTTGTAACAGATAGACAATACCTTGTAGAGCTGCTGCCATGAAAGCAAAGCAAAGCCAGGGGCCCATCTTCACTGAAGCTGGAGGGCAAAGAGCTTAGGACACTGGCTGGGCACTGCACAGAGCAGGGGCAGTGGATTCTCTCCAGCTGCAGCCTGAGCAGACAGATTTAAGCAAGGACCTGGCACTGTCATTTGCATATCCTCCTTGCTATGAGCCTGTCCTGCTAATAAGCTGACCTGTCTGTGTTGGGGCAGTGACAGAAGTTGGGGCTACACAGCCCACAGCAGGCAGAGGGCTGCCAGTGCATAAACCTGAGTTACCCCTAACATCTAACCTGTGGGCTGGGGACCAATCCCCAGTTTTTTGCAGCCCATGCCAAGGGCCTGACTGTGCCCATGAGCTCAGTCTCATTTTGCAGTGGAAGAAGATTCCCTGGGTACAGAACAGGGCAGGTGCAGGGGTTGACCGGCCATGGCCTGGGGGTTGCACAGTCTGAAGCCCCCTCTCCAGATTGGGGGTGGATGAAGCACAGCCCACAGTCAAGAGGTTTAAGGGGTGTCAGTGGCTGATGCCCAGGGTCACACCTAGGCTGTGGGCACTCATCTTACTAAGCCTCTTTGTCCATCACAGCTCCCTGGGGCAGGGTTTTCCCCATGTGTTTCCAGGGATGGATTTGGTAGAGACCTGTGTCCTCAGCACCCACCGCCTCAGGCTGGTAATGCAGCATATGCACACAGCAGGTGCTGCTCCTGCCAGAAGATGCTCAGTGCTGCCTCCTTGGGCCCTTGTGGGAGAAAACCTATGGCCCAGCTCAACTGCTATCCATGGCTAGGGGGAAGGTCTCCTGGCTCTGCCAACTGGGAGAGGCCTGATGGGTGACCCATTAACACAGGAGCAGGGCTGTGCCTGGGCTCTCCCTTGGTGTTTCTGTCACACAGGGACATAGGACAATTTCCAGGGCCTTAGGTTAGTCCCTTCCAGATGCTGTAGATCATGTCCGGCCATTAGAACCAGTGTAGGGGAGCTCCCCAATTTCATTCTGGGCTGCCCTCCCCCGGGACAAGGCAGAGGGCAGGTACAGATGTGCCTGCATGGGCTGAGCTCTTCCTGGAGGTGAGTCTCCCTAGCTCAGCAGAGTTGCACACAGGAGGGGCTGCTGTCCAGCCTGGCCCCCCATGGTGTGTTTGAACCACCTGGGAGTCAGGCCTGGAGGGAGAAGGGACTCCTTGGTCACAGCAGCAATGTTGGGGAGCTAAGTCCCTTGGGAGGACATGAGTCCTGGAGGTGAGCTCAGGGCTGTCTGAGGGGCTTATAGTCAGTGCTGGAAGTGGGGATTGTCTCAGCCTGGAGAGACCTGAGTGTGGGCTTATAAAACTGTGTGTCTGGAGTGGAAGCAGCAGGGGCTGGGCCCTGGATGTGTGTGTGGGGCTAGGGGAAGGAAGGTGGGTTGGGACTCTAGCAAAGACTGCTTTGTATTGTCATTGCTTTCATAGAGACTAGCCTTTGGTTGGATACAAGGATTTAACCATGCGAGGAAGCAGGATTGCACATGATGCTGGGCCCAGTGATGGGACCAAGCTGGGCTTTTCTATGTGTGGAAATCCACTGCTTCCTCTAGAAATCTCTTCTCTGGTGAATATGCCAAACGGGGCATGCCTGGGATTTCCTGGGGACTGGAGCAATATTTGCAAAGCTGGACTTGGGGGCAGCTTTTGTCAGGTCAGGTGGAGTTGAAAGGAGTCTTGTAAGTGTGGATTATTCTCCCCTGCAGGCTCATGCCCTCCTGCCTCTGTGCAGGGCTGTGCTGTGTGTGGGGTTGCTGCGCCCACCTGGCACCTTAGAAGGGTGGTTCTGTGCTGGGCTCTTATATTGCCTTAAATAGGGCTCAGATCACTGTGTATCTGGTACAGTCATACTGGGTCATGTCCTCAGGTTTCAGGTTGCTCATCTGAAGGTGTAGCAGGCTCTGGGAGTTGTCCTGGGACATAGTAAATCACCCTTTCACAGCCAAGGATTATCACTAGTTGGATCCAGTATTCCTTATCTCAGCTACCCAGCCCAGCCCATTTCCTGGACCATGCTGGACCCAGATCCTGTAGTAGTCCATGAAGGTAAACTCAGAGGATTTACAGGAGATGTGCAGAGAGCCTTGTAGCTTCCTCATGTCCCCTGCAGACTCCCCCAGCTGCACCAGGAAACAGGCTCCTGAAAAACAAGGTAGGATACAAGAGTAACTATTACCAGGCAGCATCTGTGCAGCCCTCCCCTTCCTCTCCATGCCTTGAGGGAGGATGAAATAGCTTCCGGAGCTGCTGCCAGGACAAGGAGTTGCAGCCTAAGTCTCTCATCCTTGGTTCTGGGGAAACCTCTTGGGTGTTGGCCACTCACTGCACAGACCTGAGGGGCTGTGGCTTGTTTGTTCAGGGGCCTCATGGGCAGCAGGACAGAGCGATTTAGGCAGGGCAGCCTGCCCCTGATTTGCATCTCCCCTGACCAAGTTTGCTGATGATACCAAGTTATGGGGCAAAGTCAGTACACTGGAGGGCAGGGAGCAGATTCAGGCTGACCTGGACAGGTTGGATCAATGGACAGAGAGAAATAGGATGCAATTTAATAACGATAAATGTAAAGTACTCCACCTGGGAAGGAGGAACCTCCAGCACACCTATAGGTTGGGGAGTGTCCTTCAGCGGCTCGGAGGCAGAGAGGGATCTTGGAGTCATAATTGACTCGAAGATAAACATGAGCCGGCAGTGTAACAAGGCCAATCGCACCTTGTCGTGCATCAGCAGATGCATGACTAATAGAACAAAGGAGGTGATACTCCCCCTCTATGTGGCCCTGGTCAGGCTGCAGTTGGAGTACTGTGTCCAGTTTTGGGCGCCGCACTTCAAGAGGGACGCGGGGAATCTGGAGAGGGTCCAGAGGAGGGCCACTCCCATGATTAGTGGCCTTCATGATAGATCCTACGGGGGGAGGTTGAGAGAGCTGAATCTCTTCAGCCTTCACAAGAGATGGGTGAGGGGAGAATTTTTGGCCACCTATACATTTATTAGGGGAGGTCAACGGGGAATAGGGCAAGCGCTGTTTACTAAGGCGCCCCAGGGAGTGACTAGGAATAACGGGTGTAAACTAGTTGAGAGTGGATTTAGGTTAGATATTAGGAAGAATTTTTTCACAGTAAGGGTGGCCAGGATCTGGAATGGGCTCCCAGGAGAGGTGGTGCTATCACCTAGCTTGGAGATCTTCAAGAGGAGGCTAAATAGTCACCTGGCTGGGGTCATCTGATCTCGGTCCTTTTTCCTGCCAGGGCCAGGGGTCAGACACGATGATCCATTGTGATCCCTTCCGACTCTACAATCTATGAATCTACGAAAAAAAAGGCATTGGGCACTTCAGCCTTTTCTGCATCCTTTGTCACTAGGTTCCCTCCCCTATTCAGTCAGGGACCCACACTTTCCCTGATCCTCCTCTTGCTACCGACATACTTGAAGAATCCCATCTCGTTACCCTTCACATCCTTTGGTAGCTGCAACTCTAGTTGCACTTTGGCCTTCCTGACTTCATCCCTGCATGCCTGAGCAATAGTCTTATATTCCTCCCTAGTTGTTTGTCCAAGTTTCCACTTCTTTTAAGCTTCCTTTTTGTGATTTAGTTTAATGAAAATTTCCCTGCTAAGCCAAGCTGGTCTTCTTGCACATTGGGATGGTTTGTTCTTGCACTCTCAGCAAAGTTTCTTTAAAGTACATTCAGCTCTCCTGGACTCCCCTACCCCTCAGACTGGCTTCTGATTTCTGAATTACTCCCATTCTCCATGGTATTAACATCAAATCCCCACCCTAATGACAGCTTGGCATCCAAGTTGCTGAGGCAGGACCGAGAATCCAGACCTCCTGCCTCCCAGTTCTGGGCTCTGACCAGCCCCCACATCCGTCCTCCCCAGGTTCTACATCACCTGAAGTTACCTGAGCGAGATGCCAGCAGGAGCAGTGTGTCTACCCTGTCCTGTCCATGCTGCTCTGTGCCCTGGAGGGCTGCGCAGGCTCTGAGATTGTTACTGTGCTGCTGGTGGATTCTCAGTCCCACTCCTTTATAGGGAGGGGGGCCGCTTTCATGTGCATGTGGTCCCTGTTGTTCATTTGCCTGAACCTCAGCCTCACTGGTCTTTGCAGGTGCCCCGAAGGGGTAGATGTGAGATGGGTACTTGGTCACTGCAGCCAATCCTGCTCCGAGCGCTGGCCTGTGCCCCGAGCTCCCACGGACCCCCGTTTTGGTGCTCTGCCTCTCGTCAGGATCCCAATGCCTTGCCGCTGCCGTCCCGCTTCCCCAGAGAAGGTAAGGGGTTTCCTCAACTCATCGACCAAGCTCCCTGCTCCGAATAAGGATGCCACCTACGCTCCTGGCTGCTGCTGCTTCTCTGCAGTGGAGTGGGGGGCCGACTGCCACCCCTAGCCTCCGGGACACCTGGCATGTCCAGCACCCTGTGATGGGGCCTTGGGGCGCCAGCTCTCTGCCCCAAGTCCTCTGCTGCAGGGCTGGAGGCACAGCCGACTGCTGCTGCCGCCTTCTCCCTCAGCAGAGGGTACCATCCCTGCACGTTTCATTGAAGCAGCCAAAAAACAAGAAAGTTATAGATATTTCATTTATTCCCCATTATACCCTAGGGCCGAATCTCTGAATTGCCGAATCTTTTTGGAAAGCCTAACGCTTCTAGCAATTCGATTCGGATTCATAGATTTGGCCTCCAAATCATCCAAATAGTCTCCAAATTCAAATCGCGATCCGAAGCTTTGCACAGCCCTAAGCGATACACAGCGGTGTTATCGTTCCTCAGGCTGCTCAGCTGCAGATAGGCCATGCTGATGAAGGTGTCCGTGGCATGTGTGACTGGTGCATTGTAATACTGGGGGGAGAGGGGGGCACCAGTGGCCATGGGGTGGCAGAGAGTGAGGCTGTGGCTGGCATCAATGGGCCCCCCAGCACTTTTGGGGCCTGATCCTGGGGGGGCGGGGGGGGCATGTGCCACCCCACATGGCCCCTCTGCCTTCCCCTCACTGTGCATCCTTTGCACATTAATACAGGGGCATGTCCTCTGGGCACAGGCTGCTCATGTGCAGGTAGAAGGTGGAGCTGTCTTTGGAAGCTGTGAATTGCCCCTGGATAGAGGAGGCATATTTTTTTTCTCTCCACACAGTAATATTAAAGCAGCCACTCCATCCCCCTCCTTCCTACGCACCTGTTGGACCCAGTTCATCCAGTAGCTACTGAGTGTTAACCCACTGGTGGCACACTGTAGCATGTGGGACTCTCCAGGCTTCTTTACAGCTGCCTCTGACTGCATCAGAACCACCTGGGAGAGGGCACCTGAGGGGAGAGAAAAGGGAGATGGTGATGAACAGGTACAGCACTGAATCAGTGAGGGATGGAGGGAGCCAGCTGCTTTGGGCAGGGACCCAGGCACAACAAGTATGTTCTCTGTGCCCAGGGTCAGACCAGGCATCAGGGGCTTGGGATCACTAAGCTCCAGACCAGGAATCTTCACCCCCACAGTGTGTTTATAGTGGAGCAAATGACCTTTCAGGATTGCTGCCATGACCAGGAGTTGGAGTCCCAGGGCCATGGTCCCTGCAGGGCAGCTGTGGATGGTCCCTGCTAATGCTGTCATGGCAGAGGGAGAGACTAATTTATAGAGGGGACCGGCCTCCAGTTGTATAGTTCTTTGTCCTTCTGTCTATCCCACCATCCCTCCCAGCTCTCTCACCATCCCCACCTCCTCTGGGCCTTCTGTTAAGAACCTGGACCAATCGTCTCTGCATCTACCCCATCACCTGCTTTAAAGCTGCGCTGTGTAGATAAGAAAGGCATCAGCTTCAAGACAAAAGAGCAAGTGGTGGGTAATGCACTGCAGCCCACAGTGAAGTATCCTGAAGGCTTCCTGGTTCACCACATGCATCCTCCCTTGACTCCATTCATTCTGCTTCCAGCTTCCAGACCCTGCCTGCTTGCTTCACCACTAGAAACCCCCCAACCAGATTTCTTCTTGGTGTGAATGTCTTGGGTTGTTTGTGATTCAGGGCACTATGAAACACTCCCCGGCCTGTTGTTGCTTGAGGGAAGCTTTCACTGGGTGGCTCAGGGCAGGGGGAGCTTGTACTGGGCATCTGTCTCACAATATTCAGATCTTTCTGTACCTGCTGTCTGGGTCAGGCTCTGGCCATATGGATTTTCAGGGGCTGGAGGGTGTGCAGGCAGCTGTGGATCAAGATGCACGTTTCTTATAGAACGTGAAAGGTCAGCCAAACCTCTTGTGGGACCATGGAAAGGTGACCCTGTGGGAGCAGGCTGAGACATACAGAGGCTCCTTGGGAAGATCTGATGTGTGGCCATATTCATGCCTCAGGGAGGTTGGAAATGCCTCTGGGCTGTTACCACAGGATCCCCCCTGCGGCACCTTGGGCAATTGTGTGGTCTTCTGATTGTGGGTCTGTGTTGTTGGGTGCCCTGGGAGACGTGGGGATGCAGACAAGGGCAGGAGGAGGAGCTGGAGAAGAATGGAGACAGGGTGGACAGAGGCAGGAGATGCCTGGGGTGGATCTCAACACAGCGCTGCAGCCGGTGTGAAATCCAGAGAGGAGGCTAATGAATACTAAGAGGTTTCCAGGCCCCTGCTCTGTCCTTTCCCTTGCTGTAAATCATGGTCTGTCAGCACCACCTCTTGGACCAGGCTGGGAAATGACACTGGCAAGTTTTTGCCTGGCCTCAGAGGGACTTTCTCTCGCTGTGTACCTTGCACAGTAATACCGGGCTGTGTCTGCTGGGCTCAGGCTGTCCATCTGCAGGAACAGCAGGTTCTGGGTATTGTCTCTGGAGATGGTGAATTTCCCTTTCACTGCTGGTGCATAGTTGATGGTCTTTGAGTTCCCAATGATTTCCCCAACCCACTGCAGCCCCTTTCCAGGGGGCTGCCGGGCCCAGGCCATCCAGGTGTCACTGAAGGTGAACCCAGAGGCTTTGCAGGAGAGGCGCAGAGAGTCTCCAGGTTTCCTTATGGCTCCTCCATACTCTACTGTCTTGATCTCAGAGAGGACACCTGCAAAGAGAGAAACAATGAAATCCCTGCTGGCAGCCTGTGAAACAGAGACCAAACTGGGGGTGTGTCTCTCTGGTGCCCCAAAGGAGATGACCAACCTCTGACGGCTACAAGAGCAAGAGTAAAACATAGCCAGTGGGTCATGTTCTTCAGTCTGGAGGGAGCTCTCCTGAGGGTTGGACTCAACGCTGCCCAGACACCAGGGGCCGCACCAGCAGGTGGGAAGCCTCAGACATTTAGCAGCAAATGCTGAGGGCTATTTGCATGATCTTCTCCATATAAGCAGGATGCACAGTCCTCTCTGAAGTGGTTTGTACTCCTCTGGATCCCATTGGCTTGCCCTGAGACTGATTCTCTCTGAGTGGTGTAGATGCTCCCTGGAGACGTGGGCTCCAGCCCTTCTCACCCTATTGCTTTACCCAAATTTAAAGGTGTCTATTCAGAGAGATTCCCACCCCAAGAACCCCCAGAGCCAGGCTGGGACCCTAAGAAAAGTGGGATGGTGTCTTGTGCTCTGATGTGGGGATCTGAGCCTGCAGCCTCTTTTAGTGCTGCTGTTCATCATAGTGTGTGCCCTACTCCTAAGCTTGGAGACCCATTTAGCCCTGGCCTGTTGCTGGCAGAAGATGGCAGAGCTCTGCTCCTCCCCACACTGACTGGGCTCCCAGGGGACTTCCAGCCAGGGGCTTTCCGGGGAGTTTTGGCTCCGGGGTCCAGGGGGCCCTGGGGCAGGCCCTGCATGAGCAACTGGGGCTGTGTGGTTTGGGGCTGATGGTGTCCTTGCTCCTGTGCTGCCTGAGTCCAGATCCCCTCTGAGCCCTTAGACCATTAAAGCTTCATCACAGCTGTGTATCTGCTACTACACATTTGGGAAGTTTCCTAACATGATGTATTTGGAGTTGGTCCAGGATAAGCTATCACCAGATACCTGGCTGCACACACATTTCTTGGATGTGTTTGGTGTGAGCTCTTACACATCTTGTATCCGTGCCATTGGCCATTTGCTTGGATCTACTTCTATCTCATAGCAGGGTTGGAGTGTGCCTGAGAGTGTCATGGTCCAAGAAATGTATGTGCAGCCAGGTATCTGGTGATAACTTATACTGGACCAACCCCATACTTCAGAGAGTCTTCACACCAGCTCACAGGCCCCAAGTGCCTTCCTCATCTAACATCTATGAATCATGTCTGGGGAAGAAGTAAGTAAAGCCAGAGCTAAGTAGCAAGAAAAGCAATGATTTGTGCTTAGTCCTGTTTGCTGGAGGTGTTTTGTGCATTGCCTTTGAGTAGAAGTCAGGGTTGGAGACCTGTACCCAGAAATGTCCAGGAAAAGTATGAGGCAAGGATTTGTTGTTGTTGTTGTTGTTGTTGTTCTCAGATGTTGTATTGGACCAAAAGTACAGATGGGAGACATGCTAGATGCAGTGTCTGGCACAAAGGGCCCTTTTTCTGGTCTGGGCATGTTTCTCTCCCAGTCGGCCTCTCTTTGAGCAGAGGTTGTGAGTATTGCTACTCCTTGTTCCTGGTGCCAGGTGGGAGAATGGATGACAGCTACAAGTACTGGGGAAGGTTATTTCTCTCTACTTTTCTAGTTGGTCACTGCAGCGTGTTATGTCTGGTTCCCAACTGGGCTCTGTTGAGGTGTCTGTGCTGGGGACAGGCAGGTGTTGGGGATATGGCGAGTCTCTTGTGCTTTCCTCAGTACAACTGTAGTTGAGGGGTCTACGGTCCTGGCTGTAGCCAGCAGCTGCCTTGGTATGTCTGGGCTGGTGGCTTTTGCTGCATCTGTCAGGTCAGTGCATGTAGTAGGTGTGTATAGGAAGTTATTGTCAGTGTGCAGTGCCCTGCATTCAGTGTGTGCAGGCTCCTAGTGCTGGCTCAAGGAGACTCTCCCCTCCCAGCCCTTCCCCAGATGGGGTGGTCTATCAGGGAACTCACCCTGGAGAGGGAGCTGGGCAGTGCAGGAGTGGCAAGCAGGGATCTGGGGGTTTGGGCTTGGCCTGGATTCAGTTTCTGCACTTGGTTTCTCCTGAGTAGGGAGTCAGTTCAGGGAAGGAGGCTGGGATGGGCCCAAGAGATCTGTGCATAAATTGCTTCCCCTTGGATTTCAGAAAAGACACTTGGAGAAGGGGAAGAAAAGTAAAGGCATCATTACCCCTTGTGCCAAGTCCAGGCTCTGGCCCCAGGACACTCGGGTGGAGGCAGAAACCACAATTAGAAGAAGCCAAAGTGATTCCATCCTTATTGTCCTGGGATGGGAGAGACTCCCCAGCAGGCAGGAGGGAGCAAGACTGGTGCTGGGCAGGGACTGAGGCTCCAGGACTAAAGGGGATCTCTTGTGTAAGGTGTAATTTGCACAAGCTCTAACTCCAGCAGCCTTTCGAAACAACAGCAAAGCTTCGGGCATCTGGGAAATCCTGGGCTTTGGTGCATTTGCTAGGAAGCCATGAAACTTAAATGTGTCTGCGGAGAAGTGAAGGAGGCTTTGGCATGTCCTCAGGAAAGTATCTTGCTGCACAGTGAGACAAGCGCTGTGCTCTTCCCCCTCTCCCACCAGCCCCAGGCTTCCCAAGTGGAGTCTGCTGTTGTGAATGGTGTTGTTTCCCTGGGGCAGTGAGTGGGCTGCCTGCATCCTGCCCACTCCCATGGCAGTGTGAGGCAGGCGGTTCTAGGAAGCCTAAAGGTCTGTGCCCTTGGTAAGAGGGGGATGCCCTGCTGCACAGTACATGGTGGTGTCTCTGGGGGCCTGGTGTGTGCACATCCTGGTGAAATGGATAATCTTGACTGCCAGAGACTGGGCTAACTGGGCCCTGGATGTGCCTGTGGCTGGAGATGCATTCACTTATCCCCATGTTCACTTGTGCTCAAAGAGAGCAGGGGAATGCAGCATTACTGAGGGCAAGAGCAGAGGCACTGAGAGCTGGTCCTGTTCTGGTACCTTCTCATCCTTTGAGTCTCTCAGCGCCTCATTAGTACTGGACAGTTTCCTCTTTTGTTGGAGACAGTGGTGACATGTAGGGGGTGCATAGGGGTGCACGTGCACCCTCTGAGCGTGGCAGTGCACCCCCTGACCGCCCATGCTCCCTGCTTAGGCGATGTACAATGTAATCTAGGGGATAGTGACCATCGATTGATTGAATTCACTATCAGGCAAAGGCAAGGGTGGGTAAAATAACCAACAGGACTGAAGTGCTAGACTTCAGGAAGGCTAACTTCAGGGTGCCTTTCTGCATTGTGCTTCCAAGGGAGGTGGTGCTCTCCCCTACCTTGGGGGTCTTCAAAAGGAGACTGGATAAGCACCTAGCTGGGGTCGTCTGACCCCAGCGCTCTTTCCTGCCCAGGGCAGGGGGTAGGACTCAATGACCTACTGAGGTCCCTTCCAACTCTAACATCTATGAATTGATGATATGGTGCTGGGCTGCAGGGATGGCAGAGACCCCTGCTCACCCCAGCCGTGCAGCATTTATGAGGCCTCTGCAGCACTGGATTTGCTTCTCTCCCTCCTTGTAGAGCCCTGTTCTGACTCCAGCCCTCCAGCACCATCTCTGGGAAAGGGAGGGTCCATTCAATGGAGGGTTGGGCCACGGCGGCCAAATGCGAGTCCTGTATGTGGGGTCCTGGCTGTGTGGTCACCATGTAGATATGCACTGCTTGTTAGCTGAATCCTCCCTGCTCCCTCCCCTTCCTCTCGGTCCACTCTGTGTCTCTGTTCTACATGTGTGAGATCTTTGGGGATGAGAGTTGTCCTTCACTACGTTGTCTGCACAGTCACTGAATTAACCCAGGGTTTGCGTTGCTGCTCCAGTGGTGCGGGTGTAGGCACTGGGAACCCTGTTCCCAAGCGGCCTGAAGCTCCTGCCCTGCACTGATACCCACTGCAGTGTGAGTGCAGTGGAGGGGCTTGGGGTCAGGGAAGCCAGGGTGAGACCAGGGGCCCATCTAACACAGGCTCTGCCTCTGACTCTGGCCTGTCCCAGAGGCTTCCATCAGTGCTGTGGGAAATCCTCTCCATTCCTCACAGGTGTGGGAGGGGGGGATGTCTCTACTTCCCTGGAGTTTCCAGCCGTCTCCTGCCTCAGCATGTGCCCACAAGCCCTGTGCAGATGAGCTGTGAGGGTCTGTCTGGTGGGGACAGGCCCCCAGAGAGCACCCATTCAATTTTTTGCTTTTCCCTTTTTACAGCACCGGGTGCCGTGGTGCTGGAGCCCAGCCTGTGCCTCTTGGCATTTTCCCATCACTCCCCCAGGAACCATTTTTCTTTTCTCCCAGCTGACAGTTTTCTCCCTGGCCTCCCCCAGGCTTGTGACATGCTCAGATTCTGCTGTGATAGGGCTCAGGTGTGATCCTAGATGACCCTCTCCCAGTCTATGGACATACAGTGCAGCGCTGGGCATTCACCTTCATAGGATAGTCCATTGCTGGTCAGTAGAGGAGCTGGTTCTGGCTCCTAATGAGCCAATTAAAAGGGACAGAATGGGTCCCAGACTTCCCTTGAGGGTACTGAGCACATAAAGGCCTGGTGCTAATGCCCAGCAGCTTGCTGTGGAGCAGTTCAGGCAGAGGATGTCCAGCCCAAGAAAGGACAGGCAAGTGTTGGCTAACAAGGACCCCGTGCAATGTATAGCATGCCTGCATTGCCAGCTTGCACAGTAATATGTGGCGGGGTCTTTCAGCTTCAGGCTGCTCACGTGCAAATAGAAATGGTGCTGTTTTTGGATTTCCAGAAGTAACTTAAATAACTGGTGTTAAACAAGCCAGCTGCTCCAGCCCCTTGATTGCAGCCTTTTGGACCCACTGAAGACCATCAAAACCTATAATATCAAAACCTCTCACCAGGTGCTTCAGCCTAGTGGATTCCCTGGGCTGCTTTGTTTCTACTCCAGACTGGGCCAAAATGACCTGAGAATGGGGCTACGGAGACACAAAAGGATGGTGAAAGGACTGGAGAACTTGAAGTCCATGTCTATTGGATATGGACTGCTCTGTTATTTCAGTGACTGCTGCTCTTTGCTGTCACTGGGAAGGAGGGAGCATTTGGAGAGGTTTTCGTAGTGACTCTAATGTCTCTGATTGCTGTGTGTCTGGTACAGTAATACAGGGCTGTGTCTTCTGCTTTCAGGTCATTCATCTGCAGATATAGTAGGTCACTGGAGTCATCGCTGGAGACGGTGAACCACCCTTTCACTGTGTTGCTGTAGTAGTC